TCGCGCCTTGTGCAAGCCCGGGCCCTCAGAGGGTTTGGGCTCCTTACCCAATCGCCGCGCTTATCTCGGGGTCCGCCCGGCTCTGCCCTCTCTCCGGCGAGATAGCTCGGTTGGGCCCCGAGACCGCCCTGGGCAGAGGCACAAAGAGGGAGAGGCCAGGGCGGAGACTGGGATCGAGGTGGGAACCGAGCGAGGACGCGCGCTGCAGCGGACGGCTCTGCCATCCCCTCGCTGCTCCCACACCTCCAGTTCTGCCGAAGGGAAAAAAGCCTTTTATCCCCCAGGGCACCTCTCCCCCAGAGCGCCCAACCGGGGACTGGACCCTGGCACCCGGTTTCATGGGGGAACGGAAGCGGGACATCTGGAAGTTCTGAGCCACAACCTTCCAAACGGGGATCCCCTCTCTGGATCGCAGCCGTGTGGCCTGGGCAGACTGGACAGGCGCAGGGGCCCAGCAAAGGAGTCCGCTTCGGCTTCCCCCTCCCCAAGGGCCCAGCTTAGGTTTCTTCCGAAGTGTGAATGTGAGCGGGGGCAACATCTCTACTTCCAAACCAAGGCTTGGGACTGCCTTTTTGGGAAAAAGTTTGGTGTCCTGAAAGCTCAGTGACCAAGCAAGCACCCTGTTCATTCTTAGGAGAAGCCCTTTCTCTCCACTCTCCCACACTAAAATGCAGCGGGGAGTGCAGGGGAGGTCTGAGGAGAAGTGTCCCTCACCCCTCTCCTCCATCTTGCGGGAGCCTCAGCTCTAGAGGCTGTCCTCTAGCGCCTGAGACACTTCCCCTGTGGGTAGAGCCAGTGTCTAGCTGTGTGAGGTGGTGGGGGTGGGGGGCCTGGCCGGCTGTGTTTTCCTGTTTGTATGAGAGGAAGTTGGCTGTGAGTCAGCAGACACAGGAAGTGTCAGTAGCTAGGGGAAGACCCCTGCCTCAGGGGAAGGCAAAGGGAGTGTAAGGAAGTGGTTCCCACCTCTTCCAGCTGCCCCAGCTAGGGAAGCGTCCTCAGCCTCCTGGAGCCCTACTTTCCTACTGAGGGCCTTCCCTTTGAGAAAGAGAATGATTAATAATGTAAAAGATCGTAATAATGGCTACCAATTATTGAGAGCTGACCATGCCCCAGGCCCTATGCAAACATTACTTTGCAAACCTCAATTAATCCTCACAAATTTCCCTATAAATAGGGAATTTTATCACCTCTATTTTACGGATAAGAAGACAGGAGCATTAAATAACTTGCTCAAGGCCTTGCAGCCAGAATATAGCCAAAGCTCCAAGCCTACAGCTTTATCTACAAAGTTCACAGTGGTAGGACCCCTGCACCAGGTCCTTTTTCCTAGATGGGCAACTGTGGTGGCCATGAGAATGCTTCTCACAGACCTCCAGCTATAAGGAGTGAAATTAACCAAGGCTGCACCTCCTTTTCTCTGAAACCCACCAGCTCCTGCTCTAAGGCCAGCTTCCCAATGGGCTGCTCCCAGCCACTGACAAAGCTCTGCAGAGACCCCAAGGCAAGCCTATTCCTGGGAGATGAGGGACTCCTCAGACAGCAGACTTTGGTTCAAGAATTTCCCCGGCAGCCTTGCTGAACTTTCCTTTGTTGGCATGGAGGTCCAGGATGCTTCCTCCAGACTTTCTTCCTCCTCTCTCTCCATCTCAGCTCTCCAAGCCCCAGGCTCCCTTTCTCTCTCACAGCCATCTCCCCTAATCGAATCCTTGCCCTTCCATCCTGCCTGGGCAGCTTCTTCCTGGAGGGCTCAGACTAACCCAGTGAGAAAAGGGAACAGGGCTGGGCTCAGTGGTTCAGCCTGTAATCCCAGCACTTTAGGAGGCCAAGGCGAGTGGATTGCCTGAGCCCGTGGGTTCGAGACCTGCCTGGGCAACTTGGCGAGACCTCGTCTCTACAATAAATCAAAAACTAGCCGGGCGTGGTAATGCGCGCTTGTAGTTCCAGCTACCTGGAAGGCTGAGGCGGAAGAATCGCTGGAGCCCAGCAGGTCGAGGCTGCGGTGGCCGGGAGCGTGCCACTGCACTCCAGTCTGGGCGACAGAGTGAAACTCCAACTCAAAAAAAAAAAAAGAAAGAAAGAAAGAAAAGGGAACAGGAAAAGCAGCACAGGGCACAGGGAGCTTGCAGGAATGGACATAGGGGTCCTGGTCAGAGGCTAGTTGCAGGACTTCAAACCTCTTTTGCTCCCTTTTGGCAATCCGGTAAAGTATATGCCCCCCGGGTCTAAGAATAATATTTAAAATGCATAAAATAAAATATATAGGATTACAAAGGAAACCAATTATATTGCAATACAGTTATAAAACTATTTTAATGTGATATAGTAATATGTGTGCTTCTTTATGAATGCTTTAAATAAGATCTAGTGGTCGGTTGATACCTCACATAATTTTGAAGCAGTGATGAACATAAATGATATTTCAGAAGCTCTACAGTACTGTAATATGATATAAATATATTTGTGACTTCTACTGGTGACAAAGCATAGTCATGGCTAATATGACTGGTTTTTACCATTGTCATAATTGGAGAAAATGCTAAATTTCAGGTAGAATTAGTGAAGATAACATGTTTTTCCCATCCACATTGACTGACTCTAAGCTAAGGACCAAAGCCAGAGGATGGGGCAGAGCCACAGAGGAGGAGACCCTCCCTCAGACTCCACTCCCCTTCTTCAGTTTAATGATATAGAGTGGGTGAGTGGAGGTTTCTGGTCCTTGGGTTGTATTTTCCTTCACTTTTTCTCCTCCGCTGTTTCTCAATTTCTCCTCCTCATCCTCCTCCTCCTCCTCTTCCTCTTCCTCCTCCCACTCTTCTTTTTCCTCTTCGCCCCATCCCCCATTTATCTTTTCTTTTCTTTTTTTTTTTGAGTGGGAGTCTCACTCTGTTGCCCAGGCTGGAGTGCAGTGGCATGCTTATGGCCACTGCAGACTCAACCTGCTGGGCTCAGGCCTTCTGCCTCCCACCTCAGCCTTCCAAATAGCTGGAACCACAGGCATGAACCACCACGCCTGGCTAATTTTTTGATTTATTGTAGAGACAAGTTCTCACCATGTTGCTCAGGCTGACCTGGAACCCCATGAGATCAGGCAATCCTCTCACCTCAGCCTCCCAAAGTGCTGGAATCACAGCCGTGAGCCACCGCACCTGACTTTTTCTTTCTTTTTCTGAATGCATTTGTGTCTTTTTTCACTGTCTGAATCTCTTTGTGGTTTTCTTGGGGTGTCTATCTCACTTTCTGCCTGTCTTTGTC